CCTCCAGGTGTCGGGGGAGCTGCCGCGCAACCACACTCTCCACAACCTTCGCCACAAAGCGAAGGTTGGAGACCGGACGATAGTTAGCTAATACATCTGGGTCCAGGGAAGGCTTCTTAAGGAGGGGCCTCACCACCGCTTCCTTCAAGGCTGCGGGGAAGACACCCTCCCGCAAAGAAGCGTTTATAATTCCCTGGAGTTATTACTCACTTCCCTTTTAGCACCAGCCTTACCTTAGTACAGAAACCATGTTTTAATATTCTGATAAGACTGAAATAAATACTTATAATAAATTAAGAAAGATGATGATTATTTATTTCTATTTCAGATCTGGGCAGAAATTGGAAAGGGTTTCTTAGATGGTTCACTTGATAAAAGCATGACCAGAAAAAAGCAGTATGAAGATGGTGAGTTCTGTTTTCTATCTATTTGACACATATACCCGGCAAGGTGATCTAATTGAACATTTCTGCATAGCATTGTTTTACTGAACGTTTCAGAAATGCTACTGTTTTATTTAGCATGTATGCTAGATATCTATTTTTCCAAATGCAGGATAGAGTAATAAATCAATCTCATCTGCCCCCCTTCAGCACTCTGCAGTACCTGTTTGCTTGCCATTTAGAGATTGTATATGTTTTCTGTAATTCCTGGAGGCTGACAGATGAAATTTTGTTTCTCCATTCATACTTGCACATACAGACAGACACATATCTGTGAAACCAATGGATAGGACTATAATGAAAATAAATGTATTTCACATCACTGCATTTCATCCATCACAAGGGAAACAGCCTTCAGAAGCCAAAGATCAGCTGCCTGTCATGATATGATATGTTTCTAGGACACCCCACTGTGCTAGCTAGGAAATGACCTCATTATTGTTTGTGCTTAAAGCCCTGATGGAAATGGAGCTCGTCTTGAAGAAAGTCATAAAAGAACGACAAGGAAAGAGCTTCAGCCGACACATCTTCATAGATTCTTTACTACAGGGGAATCTGAGTGACAAGCAGGTATCGGCATCTTTGGTGTAATTAACTATTAATGGAGTTCCCTCTAGATTAGCTGCTAATTATGTCCTGATAGTGTTTGATTAATATAATAGCCTCTATTGCATCTCATTTGAGTAGTTTTTTTTTCCTTGCTAGAATGTAATGTGTGTGGCTATTTTGGACCTTTAGGCTTGGAGCCATTTTTTTCATTAAAATACAGTAATATGTTATGGTATACATTTAACTGCTAAGGTGTTGTGGTTAGGGTTATTGTTAAAATGGGAGAAGCTGTTCCTAATGTATTATTTTAGCTAATTCCTAAATGGCAGGAAATTCTTTATACCAGATCTAGGATTAGAGTGAATTTTTATTTTTGACAGGACAAGGCCGTGAAACATATATAGATATACATATACACACACAAATGAACACACACGCGCACACACACACACAAACATATACACACACACACACATATACATACATTTTGTGAGAAAATCTTCATTGGCAGAATAGTTGGATAGGCGATACGATATCTGGCATATCTGAAATGTTCATCTGGCAGATACACCATGGCAATCGCATGAATGGTCTTCCAGATAGCATACCAGATACCTGTTGCTTTTACAGAGACTGCATTGCCTTGGTGAAATCTATAGAGATCACCACATCACTGTGGTGGTGAAGAGTGAAGCTACTGTCATTCACACACATTCTCTGATCTTTGGTATTTAAGGCAATAGCCTTTCAAACAATGCCCCATTAAGTACAGTGGTATTTATGTCTGAGAAATGCATATAATTACAAAATTGTATATGGAGGTAGATCATTAGGTGTGAGCCGATAGAAGGAAAAGCTAGAGGTCTCAAATCTTCTCTCTGGGAAGTCCTGAATGTCAATACACCTTGGATCTGCCCTCCTGCTTTGGTATGGCTATTTAGCTGCTGCTACTTGTTTTCCAGGGAGGTGCCTTTACTTGGCGTCCCTCCTCAACCTCAGTGTATCATGCAGATAATGTGTGCATTTTATTGTCAGGTAGAAGAAGTTGTGAATCTTATTTTATTTTTATAGCTATTTTCTGGCTGTGGGCTATGGAGGCATGTGACTAAAGAAATCAGGACCCCTCCTCTGGGAGATCATTCGCATGGTATAACAGAATTAAGTTTATTTTAAAAAAAACAAGAGAAAGAAGGCTAAAATATCATTTTAAGTGGTCACATGCAATTCAGCAAAGAAAAGTGTAAAAACAGAGAGCTGGGAAAGCCACTCATACCATCTCAAGCAAATCTCCGAACTCAAAACTACACAGAAAAAGTGAAATTGGTCTATTAATTAGGAAATATAATCACTGAACATTTGAAAAAGGAAAATATAAATCAGAAAGAGTATATGATCAGGCACCGTAAAGGTCCATGCATTCCAAAATAAAAAATAATCCTATGCAACATTTCCAGTTACCTAAGTTGCTATTATTTCACAGGGGCAAACCGATGACTACAACAAAGTTTCCTATTTCTCCCTTAGTTCTTCCAAATTCTGTTAGATTCTCCGCTTTAATCAGAAGCTCATGTGCTTTAGCTCCTTTTGTAGCCCTGGTAGCTTTCTTCTCTCCAGGAATTTTTAAAAGATCAAATATTTTTTTCCACAGAAAGTGGGGGAGGGGAGAGCCAGGAAAGCTCCTTTTGCTAAGCATACTTACGATGGTCTATAGCCATAATAAAGATTTGATTGATTGGTCTTTTTGCTACGTGCGGCCTTTCTAAGGGGGATTTTGCTTGACACAAGAGAATATGTTTTGATTTGAACAATCTTCATGACATGCAACTGACAGTCTGGAGTTCTCTGAAGGCCAGTGGACTTCATAAAGGGAGGCTTCTAAATATACATGGAACTGACAGCCTTTCCCATGCATATTTTTTCTCGGCTAGGAGAAGATGTATTGTTGACAATTAATCATTTTCTTTCTTTTTGGAGCTATTCCTTTGGTAGCTACAATTAATTTGGAATGCATTTCACATATATCTGCTTTGACATATGTGAAATGTTTGATTAAATTTTCAATATTAGGTTTAGCAGTAACTCTCACTGTCTTTTTTTCCTCCATGAAACTCTCTTCATTTTCTAGATTTTGGAGGACACCATGATCTTCTCTCTGGCAGGATCCATAATCACTGCGAAATGTAAGTATATAAAACAGCATTTAAGACATAGTGCAAATCATCGGTGGAGGGAGGAGACCTATGAAAATGTTGTCACGGTGCTTATTGTTCCATAATACTTTAGATAATTTGATTTAGTTTGTGTGCTGCTTTTGAGAGGCTCCAGGCCTTTATAATATTCACAGTTTTTCTTTCTTGGACATGAAAAGCTAAAATAGGTCAGGTGGAGGGAACTAGGGCTTATGCCTGAAATAGCAAAATAAATGATAAATAACTTGTCAATTTTTAATTCCAACTTCTCATCATGTAGAGTAAAGACAATGGTAACAAAAGCCTTGGCAAATTGGGATTGGGAGAAGCAAAATCCCAATATCCCAGGATTAACCAAAAATTTCAGGATATAGGAAGAAACGGTCTTTATTTCCTTTTGCTTGGCCATGAGATGTGCTTGTCTGAATTCTTTGGTTTTTTTTAAACCAATACCAACCAGAGGCAGATCTGAAAATAGCATTACATGGTTTCCCTCAAACATTAAGGCAATTGCCTTCCTGGCTGATTGTGATAAACTTTGAAATAACTCTACAGCCTTTTTTAAAAAGAGATTGATACTTGAGAATAAAATGAAAAGAATATACAGAAATTCCATATAGTAGAAATGTCAGCATCCAAGATACCATGGCAGATGCTCCGTAGTACCAGACAATGTAGTTAGATCAACATTCCAGTCATTAATAAAAAGAGAATATTTGTAGCTCATGGTTGAAATGAGGGGTCCTTGGTGCTCTCTGAGCTTGGTTGCTTTTTTGCAGATGTTTTATTACCCAGACTAGGTAACATCAGTGCTAGTAGGACTATTTCAGAGCGCAGGTGCCATGGCCAAAAAGGATCCATTCCTGGGTCCTGCCAGGTGGAACTCTCTAGTGGACAGGACCTAGTGCATGTCTCTCCTGCTGGATCTAACAGGATGGGTAGAGAATATACAGTGAGGGAAGCTGGACTGAAAATAGAAAACATGACTTTAAAATTGAAAAAAGGAAATTGAGATTAAATGTAATTTTATGATTAAGATGATATGATTAAGTATCTCATCAGCTAATGACAACAGGAACAAAAGCAAAAATTGGACTTTGAAAACTGAGATAGAAAGAGCAGTGATGCTTTTAAACTTCTGGGTTTCAAAAAGACTCATGAAAATGCCATGGATAGCCAAGAAAGCAAACAAATAGATTACAGGACAAATCTGGAGCTCTTACTTCAGGCACGAATGACCAGGCTTAAAGGATGATATTTTGGACACAAAATATGAAGACGTAGCATTCTGAAGAAATTTCTAATGCTGGGAAAGGTGGAAGGATAGAGAAAAAGACAATGACTGATGATGGATGGATTTGATAAGAACGGCAATGAATATACCGTTGGGGTTGAGGGCAAGTCATCTGGAAAGGGTTATCTACGCGGTTGCTGAAAATTGACAGTAGTTTGATGGCTAATAATAATAATTGTTGAAGGCAAGAAAAAGTGCTATTCTCTCAGTGAATCAGCTCTTCTAAATGTGTCTGTGCAGTGTCTACATGTGAGCATTTTCCAATAAAGAAAAGTTCTGAATACAGATTTTCCTTGTGAACATTTAAATCTGGTTCCCTTCATCTTAATTAATGCACAACAGAGGATCAGGGTAAGAAAACCAACTAGAGCAAGGCAAAAAAAAGTCTATTCCATGATATTATTTTGGATCTGGTGTGCATTCAGGGCCTAATTCATTCATATCAGAGATTCAGAGCTGAAAGATGCCATTTAGGCAATTGACCCCAACCCTTGCTTATTTCAGGAATCTAAATGAATGTGTCCCTTTCCAGCTATTCCTGTATGGAGATAAGAAAGGAAATTGGAGAAAGAAGAGAGGAAAAGAAAGATAGGGAGGAGAGTATATGTTTAAGGGTGGTCAACTTATAGGGGACTAGTGACCAATTCTGAATTTTTTGGGTTGCTCATAAAGTGGTTGTCATGATGGGGCACAAGTTGAATGTTAAGGTGGGCATGGCCAGGATGGATAATAATCGATTTTTTAAAAAAAATAAAAAAATGGATTTTTTATTTAAATTGGATTTTTTGATATAATAATAATCATCATCATCATCATCATCATCATCATCATCCATCCTGCGACAATATCTGTAATACCATCAAACATCCACATCTGCCTATCCCAGGTCCTTGGTAAGGACTCGATAGGTGGACGAAAATGCCAAATCAAGTTTGAACATCTGGCTGACTGTGCGATGATCAATAATAATAATAATAATAATAATAATAATAATAATAATAATAATAATAATAATAATAATAATAATAATAAAAAGTTGGAAGGTACCTTGGAGGTCATCTAGTCCAAACCCCTGCTCAGGCAGGAAATTGGATTTTTTTTTTTTTATATCAAATTTATTTTAATAAAATGCTTTTGGAGTAAAAATCTATCTAAATATAGTTTGCTATTTAAGATACATTAATAATTTAGTTTATTCAGCATGAAATGGAGCTTAGTTATGTAGCATGAGGCTGTATATTCTGTAATATTTACATTTTTGGTAAACTCATTCAATGAATCAAAGCTTTGCAAGCTGAGATAACATGCACTGCATTGATGCATTCACACAATTTCACAGTAACCATGAGATAAATCATAAAACAAAGTTCAGGAATATTCCTTTATCCCATTGTTTTGCAAATCTATGTACACTACAAACTGTATGATTGTTTGAAGAAAAATGCATCTGTGCCAGGCTCTTAAGTGTTTTAATTAAATAAAAGAATTTGAGTAGTTCTCCAACTATTGTGTTTCCCCAAGAGTAAAACCCAGTCTTATATTATTTTTGCCTCCAAAAGAGGCATTAGGTCTTTTTTTTGGGGGGGGGATGTCTTATATTTTTTGTGACACCTGCCTTGCCGCACGGTGGTGGCACCAACAGCCCCATCCAGCAGGCACCCGCTTGGCTGCCAGCCCACTTCTACTGCAGCCGCTCGCAGCAGGAGACTGCGCAGCACATCACGCTGCTACCACCATAACGAGGCGAGGCAGGTGGGGAGGGGGTGGAGCTGCCCCACGCACCCCTCACCTGCTTACTTCAGGGCCCCACCAGCCAGGCCATTCCTTGCTCGGTGACCATCCCTTTCACTCCCCTCCCAAGCTGGACTGCCGTGCTATGGAGGATGGGCAGAGTAGGCCATCCCATTAAAGTGAATGGGACTGTTGGTGAGTCAACAGCAGGTCAGAGGAGGAGTCGCTCTGGGACAGAGATGACAGTTGCTCTTTAAAAATTATGATTTAAATCTAGTTGATTTAAATGAAGCCTTTTTACTACTGATTTAAATCAAATCCACCCTGGGCATGGCTAATCATAAAATAGTAGTAGCAGAGATTTCTTCCTGATACCTGCTTTAGTTCTCCAGGATCCTTTTCTTCATTCCAGCTTCTCTTTATTTTTTGTCTGGGCAGATAGCCACGATTTCCAGAGCAAGCACTGGACTATAGCCTCCCATTATGCTTACTTTCTAAGAAAGCTTATCAAGGTCTGATAAACAAAGCTTATGCCAAAGGCTGACACTTTGCTTTGCAGCATGCAAGCTTCCAATAAACTTTTGCTTTTAATTAGGAAATATTAAATGAAGCAGAGAACCTATTAAGTGGTGCCAAAGGAGGTGCTGCCAGCGTGTGGAACATTTGGATGGGGGTGAGGGCTTTGTGTAGATATAGAAGAGCTTGGAATGAATGAATGGTGTGGGAGATAAAAGGATGAAGGATGGATGAATAGATGTTTGCATCTTGGGTATATATGAAATTATAAATTGGAGGTCTTCGCTCTAAACTCACTGGCTAGCTTTAGTCAAGCCATTGTCTTTCAAGTCTCATTATGTGGGGATAATTAAAAACCATATTTTAGAGGGCAAAGATAATGATGACTAAAGTAATAACTATGGTACAAATTGTGCACTTCACAAAAGGTTCTCTGATTGTTAAACTGTAGATTGCCTCAAAAGTCTACTCAGCCTTTAAATGGTTTAATCACCCATGCTTGTTCATTTTCTCACAGGCCACCCAATACTTACTTCTTCCTATGGACCGCTTCATCTGGCGTGGGTTTTCTATTGAGTTACTCAGTGGGGTTTGCTTTTTCCTAATTTCAGAACATGAACTGTGAATTGTATGCATGTGTTGACCAACTCAAGACTTTTATCTTCTGATGCTTCTTTCCTTTTCTTTCCTTTAGTGTGTACCTGGGCAGTCTATTTGTTAACTACCTCAAAAGAAGTCCAGCAAAAGCTTTACAAGGAGTTGGATCAGGTTCTTGGGAAGAGCCCTGTTACACATGTGAAAATTGAACAACTTAGGTAGGGGCCTATTTTTATACTCATTTTTTTATTGTCAGCAAATGTCATACTCTTGGTCTCTTAACAAGGTGTGAGAAGAGGACTCTTGTTTTCCTTCTTCTTGCCCTATCCATTTCTCACCACTTTTCAAAATCAATTTGAACCCTAGTATAGTACTATATTGCTAATATGCTTAACTTAAGACAGAGTTTGCCCTGTGAGTTAGCCAACCCATTCCATTCAAGTACCGGTAGTCCTCAACGTACGACCACAATTGAGCCCAACATTTCTGTTAAGTGAGTTTTGCCCCATTTTATGGCTTTTCTTGCCACAGTTGATAAGTTAGTAACCTGGTTGTTAAGTGAATCTGGCTTCCCCGCTGACTTTGCTTGTCAGAAGGTTGCAAAAGGGGATCACATGACCTTGGGACACAGCAACAGTCATAAGTATGAATCAGTTGCCGAGCATCTGAATTTTGATCATATGATCATGGGGATGCTGCAAAGGTTGTAATTGTGAAAAACAATCACAAGTCACTTTTTTCAGTGCCATTGTAACTTTGAATGGTCACTAAGTAAACTATTGTAAATCGAGGACTGCCGGTATTTTATATCCTGTACACAGCAGATGGGGCAATACATGGATGTTTGAGGGCAACAATAGGCAGAACAATGATGCAAAATGGACGAGGCCAAGGCACGTACATGAAAGAGTGGAATTTTCTGGGATATTCCCCTCCCCCCCATTGTAGGTTTCCTTTATTTGTAAAACTATGCTAAGCATTTTAAAACAGAAGAAAACTCTAGTAGTTAAAAGGGGTGCTGAGATCTAAGTGATCCATGAATAGCACTGCACTTTGATTTGGAACAGAGATGGAAGAGAACTGTAATTTGCCAGGAGTGGAGAAGAAGTGTCTCAGCCAACAAGCAGCCATTTGAGCTTCAAGAAACAGAATAAAATTGGGAATATTAAAGTGGAGAGCTGTAGCCAAGTGGCAAGTAATTCATCCAAGAACTCATTACTGTATTGTAACACAGGTTATGCCATGACTGGATTAAATGTTCATTAATCTGATTCTTGTTTGAAATACTGTCTCTGGAGGTTGTAGGAATGTGTGTTTTAGGAATCTTTTCTTTTTTAATCAAACGAAAACCTTGGAAATGTTGTGCTTGCAGGTATTGCCGGCAGGTTTTGAATGAGACAGTGAGGACAGCAAAACTAACGCCAATTGCTGCTCGGCTTCAAGAGCTGGAAGGCAGAGTTGATCAGCATCTGATTCCCAAGGAGGTAGGATTGGAAGCTGGTGCTCTGATCTTCAATTTTGGTTAAACTTCCTAGAAAGAGATGTTACTTTGTTTTTTTAAGAGAGGCACATTAGTGGACAGGTAAACCAAAACACTGAATTCTTTTTTCAATGAGCTGTTTCAAAGAACATTGATTGATGGATTGGATTGGTAAGGCTGCCCAATTCAAGCAATGTGACTCCAAATAATGTACAGCAAAAAACAACAACGAATAAATCCCCCAAATAACCACATATTTTTTTAAAAACCCTACCCAATATATAAAATGGCAACCAAACACAATAATTAACCAAAACGCACTCAAATGCATTTTTGTTTAATAAACCATTATATGACTGAGGATTTTGTTTATTCATTCAGATGCTTTTTGTGTCTGTGTGTTTGTGAACCTAATTAAGCCAGGAAAGGGCCAATTAAGCAAAGTTTTCCCTTTCCTCTAAGTAGAATAGCAATAGTGTTCTTAGTTGAGAACAACTGGATCATGATCATGAGAGCCAGCTCAGTATAGTGGTTAAGGCATCGACTTGAAAGCCAGACACAGTGAGTTTTAGTCCTGTCTTAGCTATGAAAGCCACCTGGATGGCCTTGGGCCAGTTACTCTCTCTCAGCCCAACCCACCTCACAGGGTCGTTGTTACGGGTAAACAGGAAGAGGAAGGTGTGCTGGATATGTTCATTGCCTTGAGTTATTTGCAAACGTAATAAACACTGGATGCAAATAAATAGATTTGGGTATATATGAAGATGAAGGATTCATTCATAGCTGTTTGTTAAACCGAGTAACTTAGTAGGAATGCTATTAATAGTTAGTAAAATTTATGATGCTCTGTGTTGAGTTATAGCACAAGGCCACAAGGTAACACATTAGAATGAGGAGAGATGGCTCTTTTAGTTGTTCATAAAGTACTTGGGGAAGATGCTTAGAGAATAGAATAAAAGCATGAAATCTTATTATGGCTTGCTATAATCACTTTATTCATTTAAGTAAAGGAAAAGGTAGTTCTAATCTTTTGCTCCAAATTAGTAAGGAGTTTTGATTAATAAAATATAAATAGTCTATTCTTGCTTGTGCCATTTCCAACAAAAATATCACCATTGTGATATTTTTGCCATATTTACTTGGACATCAGTTCTAGAATATCTTCATCATCCTAATAAACACAATTGTGACTTTATCCTTAAGTTCTTCAAGGTGAGATTATCAGACATCAGGCTTCTGTGAAAGTAGTGAAAGGAGCTGATTTCAAGCACAAAGCTAGAAAAAACTTTCGGTTTCTATCGCTTCTGTCACTTTCTGTTTCCTCTTGTAAAATGCAATGATTGCTATATAGATGATTACACACATACTCATTTGGAACCATTATGGTCCATCTTATCTTGAAATGCTGTCATTGTGATACTGCTTCACGCAAAGGAAAATTTTCTGAGAGGTTATGTGGTACTTGGCTGCTGTCACCTTTTTCTGTCCCCGGTCTCTTCTTTTCTTGCAGATTGAATTAGTTTTGCATTAAGGATCTAAACTGAAGTTAAAGCAAAGAAAATATATTTCTGTTATGTATTTATACAGCTATTAATGCACATAATAGTCTACTAGTTTGTGTATGCAATGTGATAATGTTGTGCATGTCAATGGGCTAATATGATGCTTTTTAAATTCTCTTACAGACTCTTGTTTTATATGCTCTTGGTGTGGTCTTGCAGGACAGCTCAGTCTGGCCGTTGCCCTACAAGTATGGAACACAGAAAACTTAGATGATAATATTTCTTAATGTGAATTCATTTTTTCTCCTGCTAAATTCTGTCTCTTGGTACTATATGAATAGTGGTCCTATATCACGACACGTGGTTTCTGGGATCCTCCATTTAAAATGTAGGTGTAGAATTTCATTTTGATTCAAAAACAACCACCACAAAGTGCATGTAAAAAAAAAAACACCAAGCAGATAAAAAAGTAGAATTGTCTAGATGCATTATTTTCTCAGCAAAAGATTTTAGGAGGTTCGTGATTTTATATGGCAGATGCAGTTTGTCTATTGCAGTTTACAAGAACAGAGGACACCCATCAAAAGCTTTACGTCATTATTTTCCGAAATGGCCACAGAAGAATAATTTTGGCCGCAAAATTTGAATTCCACAGAGTAGAAGAAAATGTGCTTCCAAATGGCAACCTTTAATTTTATCCAGCAGGATTGGGGAGCTGAAATAGAGACATTCATTTTGAATCCAAGAGAAAAAGAATCCAAGAGGAAAAGAATTGAATTGATTGAAACAAAATTAACCAAATCGCTTTAATAAATAAATAAATAAATCTGGCTCTGGAAACTGAACCATTACTTTTTTAGGGGGGGAGCAGAAGAGCCATTTCCCAAAAGATTCTGTTATTTCCATTAACAGGATATACTTTCATTGTTAGTTCAAGGAAAATAAATAGCCCTCTGGAATGGAAAGGTAGAGAAGCCAAGCTGAGTATGCTGAGTGTCAAATGTTTAAAAACCAATTATTTTGTTTTTAATATGATACTTGCAACCACCGGATTGCAGTTGGGTCTACATATCGTGGGTTTAATCTTTGCAAGTATCCTGAATTTAGCCTCTGCAGCTAATGTTGGGTACTGCAGCACTTCTCACACTCATTACAGGTGGTGGTAAAGTACAGGATCTCCTCTGACTCCATGAAAGTTGTTTCGTGTCATCTCTGTGTACATATCATTAATTCTTGGTCACTGCTTATACAAATGTAGTCTTCATTCCACATCAAACACATTTTGTTTAGGTTAGGGGATGAGTTCAGAGAGGTCCAATTGCCCCTCCTCCAAAAAAAGCTACATGAGCATCAACCAGGCGTCGCCATTTCCCAACATTTACAATCCAACTTTTTTAACTTTGCTAATTAAAACAAATTAAGGGATACATCAAACAAAACAGCTTTTCCAGACTTTGCTATTTCCCTGCAGAATATGGTTGGCCTTTTAAGGGAACATGATGAGGTACAGCCAACAGACAGCTGAAGGGTTGAACAATAGAAGATCTATTGCCCAATGAAATATCAAGTTAATGAAAAACACACATGTGCTATACTACAGATTTAATAAATATTGCAGGGGGGGTACTTGTGTGAAAATAAATAACCAGGCGTCCTTTTGATTACTTTGTCAATCCTTTCATTATGAAAACCCTACTGTTAGTTTTAGACAAGGCTGGATAATTGCTTGTTTACCTCTCCTCCCCAAGCTGAATGTGAAATATGCTTTTCTTTCTAATGAATCATCCACTGCTGAGCACACATTTGCTTGCAGGCCAGCTGGATTGAGAAAAATGGAGGCGGCCTGGTGCAGGCAGCGGAGAAAGAAAGGAGGAAAAGGGAAAGAGATGGCAGCTCTGTCTCGCACCAAATTGTGCCAAATCACAAAATGTACATTGGGTGGATGCAGGCGGCCTTGGGTATTCTCTGCTGAAGAGCTTCTTAATTGCCGATTCACATTTCTTCTAGCTCATTTCAAGGAGTGGGTGGCTTTTGATCTTTTTCTTTTCTTTTTGATAGATTTGATCCAGATAGATTCAGTGATGAAGCTGCTGTAAAAAATTTCTCTCTCCTGGGTTTTTCAGGAAGTCAGGAATGCCCTGAACTGAGGTGAGAGAAAATAATACTATTTTTTTTAAAAAAAAAAAAAGAGGGGGGGAGGGATGTGCTCTAAATAGAGGGGGGAAGCAATACTCTTATTTTTCTTGTTGCTGAGATTTGTAAAAAGCCTCTTTTGATGTACTTAGAAGATAAAACATAGAATAATAGGGTCTTGGAGATCTAATCTAGGAAAGCATCCAGAGGTTACTCTGGCAGGAGGAAAATCTCCCAAATGAGTCAAAAACACCATCCCTTCTTCCTTAGTTTCTCATTCTACACTGTCCAAAGGGTGGCTGATATACTGTATCAGAATTTTTTGGAAGGATTCAGATGCCTGCAATAGAATAAACCCAAGAAGGGGGTTCCTTCAATGTGTATCTTTTTTTTTCTTTAACTATGAATTCCAAATATTTGACATGATCTTTTTTTCATGGCTAGGTTTGCCTATACAGTTGCCACGGTTCTTCTGAGCGTGATTGTGAGGAAACTCCACCTGCAGCCTGTGGAAGGCCAAGTCATTGACACGAAGTATGAGCTGGTTACCTCACCCAAGGAAGAAGCATGGATAACCATATCCAGGAGGAACAAAGGAGAGGAGTGAAATTGTTGGGGAGAAGAACTCTTTTGCACTACTGACCATCTTCCAATGCTTCCTTTGAATCGTCGTAAGGCATTCTTGGCCTAAAATATTTTCCTTCCTTCATAAAAAATTCCTTGGATCCCCTAAACAAATCTGTAGGATTAATGGGAAAACTGAACCTTGTGAGGCAATGATTAATTTGCCCCTCACTTTCCATTAACCAGAGCAGCAAGAAGTTGCATATTCTGACCTAGAGGTCCTCAGCCATAAAAACCAAGTGTAAGCAGTAACATTGTGGAAATGCGTTGTGCATTTGGATATAGGAGCTTTTTTAAAACCTATTTTTAAATGAAGTATCACTCAAGTTTTGAGTTATAGCAGAGAAAAAACTAAAGGTGAACCGTTGCTCTAAATTAAGATCCAATATGAGTAATGGGTTCATGCAATTCAATAAAAATGGCGGAAGCACACTTCAATTAAGAAACATTCCTGTGTCAGTTGATTATTTCTCTTTCTTTCTGTCAGGCTTGGGTAGAAATGTTAGTCATAACTGCAACCCACTACAAATAATGGGAGCAATTTATTGGCAGTGCAACTTAACATATATTCCATTGTTTTTAATGGGATGCAGTCACAGTTAATTTTGAGGCCAAGGTGACATTTGGGGTGGGGAGCTGGAACAAAATTAGCACTGCTCATTCTAGACTCAATGTATCTTTCTTTTTTTTTAAAAAAAAATCTGGGTTCCTTGTCTTGAGAGATGGGAAAGATGGCATGCTATTTTTTTGTTCTTTCTTTTCTTTGCTATATAAGTGTTGAAGCAATTGCACTGCCAGTGCATTATGATTTTTTTAGTAACAGTTTTGATCAAAATGATCTAAAGCAGTCTTTATGTGTAATTATGTGAATTAACCTATTATTTGTCAGTTGTTCCAAGGGGAGTTTCACATTCATCTATACCTTTTTTATAGAACAGTGCTGTCACTCTGCCTTTCCTATTGCTGAATTTAATAGCAATCTTACCTACTATTTAAATAGTAAACTATAATATAGAAAAACCAAAACCAGTAAATTGACTATACAGGACAATAGTTTGGAATAGCAACCTGGGGGTTTTGCTTTCTCTTAGAATGTGTGATTCAACTTAACGTTTGGTGGGGAGTCATATTTGTTATTTTACAAAACCATGCTTTAAATTTGTAGGGGGAGGGGGCTTATTTGACACACTTATCTGTCTCTGGACAGACTGCATGTATGAAAAGTGAAGATGTGTGTAGGTGAGTGCTTGGATAGATCTTCCTTTTTTGTACGGGTGTAAAATGAGAGAAGTTAATCTTCAGGTATTTTCCAGCATAGCCATTCTCCAGTATTCTGAAGTCTACATTTAATTAGATTACTTTGCAAAATGATAAAAGTAATATACATCAGAACTGTATAGCTTTAGGTTAATGTATGAGCCATGAAACAGTTGGAAGAAACTGCTGATATTGGTGATTATTGCTGCTTGTTACACTTCAATAGCTATATATTTTAACTTTTTCTGGAAGGAATTCATGGGGTGAGAGTGCAAGTAGACAATGGACTGGTCTTGAAAGTTTTTTTAAGGTTCTTGCCAAGGAGATCTTGTTGTACAACAGTATAACCCAAGTAAATACACCAACATTATCTTAGACATCCTGTTTAATAAAATCCTGTTCTTATTTGCCATCATTCAAAGCTCATGAAGTAGAAACGTGGGACTACCTGAAAGTTGGGGATGAAATAGATTTACTTTCTGTTTTACCCATCAGTATCAAATGTGGGTTCTTTTTCTTGCATCCAGTTAATCAGAATTCTGATTTATTATCTTGCTATTTTAACTTGATCCTAGATTTATTTGGGTTTGCTATTCTGATTGTTTCTTTACCTTCTTTAACAAAATTTATTTTAAATATAGTTTGACATAATTTTGCTTATTCAAGTTAGCATGCTCAGAAGATAACTTAATGGGCTTTTTCTATAAATAGTAGTACTATTATTACATTGTTGAGTAATTGTATTTTACTAAATATTTTACTATAGTTACTTATACCGTTGTATATTATGAAAAAGAAGGCTTCCTCAACGAATGATTTCCAATTTTAGTTGCCCAGATATTAGCCACAACTTGCCTGTGCCTCTGGATCATCTGGAGATCCAAAATTGAGAATTCTACCTTAAACTGTCCTCAAAACATCTTGCTGCAGTGAATGTGGTGCTCCAAAAAGAATGATGTTAAAACAAGGCTCACTGAGATACCAATTATTTGGATGTTCATGTAGGTATGAAATTAGAAGCAGGCATGGGATGAAAGTAGGGAAATAAAAGCTCTTGCTTGCTAAAAAATGCCAGTGAGGATTGGACACTAAACTATATAATGCTCTCTGATTAGCACAGTTGGTTTTAAAGCGGCTTTTGTAAAAAAATTATATAATTACCAAAAATAAACTTTTGTCTTAACTTCTGATTTATAGTTTTTCAACAAATGTCCACAAAATACTTGGTAAGTGTTATGCTTAATATAAGCTTGCTTTCAGAATGCCATAAGAATTTTGGAATCGTGCAAATCTGGAGACAAGATTTTACTGGAAATATGATATCATGTGTACTTCCAGAAATAGTATCAAGAGGAGAATGCTCTGGTTCAATACAAAGAAGATGGACTAAGTATTGGTAATAGAATCAATTTATGCAAATAGAATGGAGATTAATCCAATCTCCATTGCCCCACCATTAAACTTGCATTTAGGGGGAACACTAGATAATGCCAAGGGCTATTCAACATTAAGGTTTATACACAAAATGAACGATGGGGAATGAAAACAAGTTGTAGACTAAACAAGGCCAGAAGACTATATTGCGTTTCTGGAGTGTGAAATAACATGTTGAGAAGTCTGCAGGCAGCCAAACCATGTTCTGCTCAATGATCCACTCGTTTCAAAATAACAAAGTATTGAGATTTGGGAAAATGTGTATCTTTTCAACAGAAGTGCTTGCCTTAAGGAAGAGGCTTCAAATGTGCAGTACTATAACCCCTTAATGAGAGCTAATTTGGTGCAGTGGTTAAGGCATTAGGCTAGAAATTGGAAGAGTGCCCTGGCCAGCTGGGTGACCTCGGGTCAGTGAGACACATTTAACCCTAGGAAAGAGACCATCTCCAAAATCTTGCCAAGAAAACTGCAGGGACTAGTACAGGCGGTCACTAGGAGTCAAAAACTGTCTCACAGCCCCCCTCCTCCTTAAATGAACTAGTGCAGCCTCCTTCCATGAATAAACTGTTTAACTGGGTTTAAAGGTTGAACTCAATGAGCTTCCATGGTTAAGGATATCCCACAACCTGAATCTGTCAGATTTACACCAATATCTCTCGAATGTTCCCCTCACATCCAATGTAAGCTCTCATTTCATTGCATATTCCAAAATAATTTTCTTTGGGTACACACATCTTTTCAAAAGGACTGAAAACCAAACCAGTTAAAAGTTTTTAAGCTCTGCGTAAAAGAGAAAAAAAAAATGAAATGTTGACTTTGGGTTTTGACAGTGAAGTGGATTATTTTTATATAAATGGCTAGTGGTTATTATTTGGCATAATTAAAAAGTTGATATTATAACTTTAGAATTCAAACAATAGTATTGGCTATAGCCAGAAGGCATTTAGAAGGTATTTCAGAAATAATTCTTTCAAATTGTTCATATAATTTAGGAATAAATCAGGTGGTACATGCAGATACTTCCCTGCCTGTTATTTCTTTTAGATATTTAATTTATATACAAATATGCATGTGTGTGCTTGTGCAGCAATGTGTGTTGCAAGTTGCAGTGTTATAAGAACAAGCTTTTGGCATCATCTTTATTTACAAGAATGCTTGTGGGCTCATAGGTGCTGTTCTCCAAAAATACATATAACTGGCTGATAGCTTCAATCAAGTGCAGCAAAATTATTGCTCAGGAATTTTTTTTAAAAAGCTTAGCTTAAAAAGAGGTAGTAGAGAGAGGGGCACCCTAAGAAGAATGATGGAGAAGGGGAGCAATCTCATCAGTTTGCCCTCAGGGAAACCTCAGAGGGTATTTTGTGACAACTGTTTTGTGAAAACATCTGTCACATATTCTCAACATTCCCAATGTGTCTACCATCATTTCTACTTATTGAGTCAAAAGATAATCTCAAAAGAAATATAATTGTCACACATGCTATCTGACTGTGTTTACATTGTAGTGGTTTCAGAAAGGCTTACTCTATGGGGAAATGGGGAACAAAGGTTTGAATGCTTATCTCAGAAGAAGCATTTCAGCAATCTGAGAAAAAAAATGTTTCAGAGAGACTCCACCTTAATCGACAAGTTAGAGCTAAGGCTACTAACAGAGATATATCCTACGTTGAATAGGACTTAGAACATGGGATAGACTAGAAATCCTCTTATGTAATTACTATTACAATACTGGGCTGAGTTGACTGTGGTTGACGCTGGAGTATTTTAGATTATTCCTGGTGGATTATTTCAATCCATTTTGGTTATGGCTTGTTTGAGGTGGTTTAGGTTTAAACTTTAAATTTTAGAATTTAAAGCAGCCACAATAACTGATCACAAACTAACACACATCAGTAGTCAGTAGTCACTCAATCTGGCCTCTTTCTTTGGGTGATCCCATTGATATAAATGAGCCACTGTCTGGTTAAAATTGGATATACAGACATTCTTACGTAGGACTATGACAACTGATCTAGCCAAAAAGGCTGTCTATAGGAGAGTTCCTATGAGTGCTTCTGCTGATGTTTCAGTTGAGTCCTAGAATAGAGAACTCATTAGAATTGTACACACATTTGCCTCCAGCATTCTTTCAAAGTCACTAGAGTTAGCCCCATGGTACCTAGAAGGGCGTCAATGAGATGAAGCAGCAAAGAAGACATTAGAGCACAAGTAGAGAAAATTTGTCTCACATCTGATAATGTAGAGCAGGGGTCTCCAATCCCCCCAGTCCATAGCCTAGTACCGATCTGCGGTCCATTGGGAATCAGGCCACACAAGCAGTGGCCAAGCGCATAAAGCTCCATTTGTGCAAGCCGTGGGTGCACGTACATGAAACCATCCCCTCTTACTCCCCCACCTGCAGCTGCTGGTCCGCAGAGCCAGAAAGGTTGGGGACTGCTGATATAGAGAGTAAGGAAGATGAACCTGACAGAGATAGGCCAGATCCATTATCAAAACAACAAGGGGAAAATATGGCTTAAGTCCCAAACAAGAAAAAGTGATGTTCAAAAGATTCAGGCAGACACCTTCCTAATTCACATGAACATAAGGGGGGGAGGCAAGTAAAGCATTGACAGATTTGAAAGATTGTGTTACTATAGCCAAAGTTGATAAAAAATAGTTTTAGTCTTCATGTGGAATTGATTTTTTGGTTTGCCCTATGTATTGGGGCTGACAATCTTGTAATTCCTGGAGATGGGAATAGGCCAGTGGTGGCAAACCTATGGCACGCATGCCAGAGGCGGCACTCAGAGCCCTCTCTGTGGGCACGCGCGCCATGCCCTGGAAATGGCAACTGCCCCTCTTCAACCAGCTGCCCACTAACTTGCCGAGCTCCCACCTTGCCGGATGTATCCCAGCACCCATGCGCTCACTGGCCTCTGTGTGCAGGGGCCGATGGTGTCAGGCAGCAGCCACCCGGTCCCTGCCTCACATTGCCCTGTGACAATGGCACCCCCGCCCTGCCTCGCCTCGCCTCGCCTCACCCCGCAGGACGAGCCTCCTGCTGACCGCCCCACCTGCCAGAGACCCTCTGGATCTCCCTCAACCCTGCCCGGCCCCCATAGGCGTCCCTCCCCACGAGCAACATTGAGGTGATCACGCCCACCTTGGCCACACCCACCTAATCTGCCATGACCACCACAGCCATGTCTACCCAGTGGGCCATGCCCACCTGGCACCCGGCGATAAATAAGTGGGTTTTGGATTGCAGTTTGGGCACTCAGTCTCTAAAAGGTTCGCCATCACTGGAATAGGCTCATGGGGAGGGACGCTTATGGGGGCCAGACAGGGTTGGGGGAGATCCGGTTGGGATAAGTAAAAGATCCAAGCTAATTCCAGCAAAATATTGATTAATCCTATAAAAATAAAATTTCCCTTAAATTGGGAGGATTTTGTATGACTGTTTTTCTTGGAAATGATGAACCATTGTTTTCATTCAGAGTGTTTTTTCAATCTCCAACTCTAACCTGGTGTTCCCTGGGGGTGTATTCTCAAACTCTTTATTAGGCTCAATCCTGCTTAGCTTCCAAGCCCTGACAAGGTCAGTCAGCCAGCCTATAGATAATCTTTTAAATACAGGAAGATCTCATGTGAGTATTGCAGATCGAGTTAAGCACAGATATGCTAGGCATTTGTGCATTTTTTTTTTAGTACAAATATATCACTGACCCTGGAAACTGATAGCAATCTGTGAGGGGCTGATAGTAACTGAACGTATAAATGCAAAGTTTCTCTCCAGTGCTGCAGCATTCAATTATTCTGGCACTGCATCATGGAGTGTTTCTGAAATTTATGACTCATAATTTGCTTAGCAATATAAGCATCCATTTTTCAGTGCTGAATAATCCAGTTACAATGCCGGCATTTTTTTTTTCATTTAAAAATATGTGATCTGCTAGCAGTGCTTTCTGATTTTTTAAAATTAAAAAAAAAACGATGTTT